TAACTTGGGCGTGCGCTCGGCCACTCCCATTTGGACCACGTACGGCAACTGTTAGGAATGCCCAACCTAAGCGTGCGCTCGGCCACCACCATTTGGGCCACGTATGGCAACTGTTAGGAATGCCCAACTTAGGCATGCATCATTCCTTCCGAATTGCAGCATTTAGGTGTGCCTAATTGTTTCCCCATTAGGCCCACATTCGTACTTCGAATTCTGGTTATAACTTTTCAATGAAGCTTCAAACGACCTATGTTCATATAATATTTTTTTCTCCCTTATACCCATAGAAGATACCGACAAAGTTTGATCGAAAGTAACTGGGACACCCTGTATATTAAACTAATAACGTATTGAACGTAATTAGGTATATATTAAACGAAAGCAAACATATACGCTACGAACAAAGAATTACTTAAAAGATAGAGAAATGAAAATATAGAAATTTAGGGATTAAAATGGGAGGTTTCCGCAGAACTCTTATTTACTTTACAAAGTGAAAGGTTGCAGCTGTTTGAAAGTCTACTTTTCATTTAGTGAGTCACTTACGAAGCTACAGTGTACTTTGTAAAACGTTTGATCAGCAGAAACTGGGACACCCTGTATAATGTTACGTGCGTTAATTCTACACCGAAAAGCAAATAATAAGCAAATCGTATAATCGGAGCATAGTTGTGTCGGAAAAGCGGGGAAATTCACATTTTTCACCCTCTATATCTGAACATTGAATTTATAAAAATTGATTTTCTTTCGTGTTTTTCACTCTTGTGAAAGCAATTTGTGGATGAAAGAATCAAAATGAAATGAACGGAACTTATACTTTATCTTTATCGCAAATGAAAAGCTACGTGTCTACAAATGTAAAATGAAAGCACCTTTTGATAGTACGTGCAAAAGCGATATTAATGAGCTTGACTGAATGCAGGTCAAGCTATCGCGCACCTACACTTCTCTTGCACAAAACAGCACATGAATGTACGATAGTTAGCGCTTGATGTGAATTCGGTACAATTTGTTACTGTACTCTTTATACGAATTGTACAATTGCTACTATGTGAAGTAAATATTATTTCGTGTATGTTTTCCGAAATTTTCACTGTGATCAACTTTTAACCGTAATTAATTTAATTTATTTTAAATGTAGGAGATGTAAATATGTCTAGAAATTCAGAAATTTTATGAATGTTTTAAACTTATTTGTAATGACAACAGGTTCCTTTCTTTTTAGTTAAGCATCTGAGACCTCGTAATGAGTCTAAAATCAATATTTGATCTATGGAACTTCCTCTCATGTTACAAAAGAATTAACGTTGTCAGAAATTTTTATTTTCATTTATGTCTCATTATCGAAAACATCTCATTAGAACGAAAACATCTAAAGGGTTTGTTACATTAATGTACTGTCGACCGGTCGCGACAATTTTGTAACAATTGTTGTACAATGCTCGTGACGAATGAAAAGTAAAGATGTTCGACGAACTAACTGTCTCGGAATAAATGATAAAATTTCCAATATATCAATTAATAGAATAAAAAGAATTTTATTGCAGTTTCTATGTATTTTTTCTCAGATGCGTAATACAATATAAAGTGATATAACGAAATATCAATATTTGGCATTTATATAAATGAATTAATAATATCGCTGTTATTTATTAGTAATATTAATAATATAACAATAAATATCATTATTAATAAATAATAAAAAATGCGCTTCTTTCACGTAATGGACATATTTTTATCTACCCTAGTATCAATTGTGTTAAAAACAAAAATGGGTATATGCATGAGGTAAAAATTGGATGAACGAACAGAGAAGAGGATGGTTGCAGCATCAATAGACTACATTGAATATACGCCTCGGAGCTGTAGGAAATGAATGATGAAACGCGAATATAGGATGAATCTCGAAAGATTCAGTCTTAAAAATTGATAAGTTTCAATCACGTGTTCTATTTCACAGGGTGTTCTGCCGCTGTTGAAGATTGCTTCGCCTGGATAAATAATAAGAAAAGATGAAGCTATCAAATTTTATTCCCCTAAATATTCGAGAAGAGTAATATTATATTAGAAAATTATGAATAAAAAACACTCTTCTTCGAAACCTGAAGTTATCCAATCGAGAACGAATGTACAATTCATCGTTGTTTTGTATGTTTTTCGTAAATATGAAAAAAGAATTGTTATAAATTATTTCTTTGTTTATTTTTCAATATATTCAAACACTTTTTAAATGAAACATCCTCGAGAAAGTTTTACAATTTAGCAGAGTCTAATAAGCTGCTGCAAATATAGTGTGGAAAGTATTACTTCTTAAAATTCGATTAAAAATTCCTTCACACCTTACATCCTCTTTACATGTGTGTGTAAGAAAACTAACAAGGGAACTTCTCGGTGTGATAATCACCGATATTGATGAAACTTTGAGATATAGTAGTTTTCAAAAAAATATTCAATACGTATTTCTTTTTTATCGGCAATCGTCCACTGTGAAGGGGTGAAAATCGCCTTAGAAGTTGGAGGTAGTAAACATATTTAGTTCAATATCTCGAAAACTATTAGAGATAGAGGAATAGTGAAAATTGACGAATTTTGTGTTTCTGAACATCGAATGTGTCTGCCTAAATAAATTGAAAAACGTCCATTTGTTTAAACAATATATTAAAAATTATAATTTTCTTATTCATTTTTCTTGTAAAATATTTATAAATTTTTGTGTAAATTTATACAAAATACAGATAAACTAGAATTTTGATTTTCCTTTGTAAAATATATTTCGGAATCGTTCGATTTTTACCTTTAATCGATCTTTAAAATTAACAATAATTTTTCTCGTGCATAATTTGTAGAGTATATTTCCCACGTATGGGATAAATTTTTTATTGCTTGCCGTTTAAACGTAACAGATGCTTTGATTAATAATATTTGCACGTATTGTAAAACTCTGTTTTATTTTTATCACCTACCGTTCGTAAAGTTTCGTATACGTGTTAAGAAGGTGATAAAAATAAATTATGCAATACTGATATTTGTAAAGAATCGTAACACAAATGCACCGACAATTCGAAATATTTTGCAATAAATTCGTATTACTTAAAAGAAGGACGAGCATGTTAAACTATTTATATTCCTACGTTTAACTATGAAAATTCTTGGTACATTAATTACCGTGAAAACTTTTTGTCACAAAATAACAACACTCCCAGATTTTTCTCAATTGGAAGCTTCTTCGTGAAACTTCTCAACCAATTCGTTTAATTAGCTTAAATTACTCGTTTCTTTCAAGCCGAGGCAAGGAAAATCCACAACCGTTTTCGTTCCGTTAATTATGATAATATATTTGACATTCTTTGACTACCCTCTCGCGGGGAATTATTTTTGTTGCAATTAAAATCGTTTGCATCGCTG